TTAACAAACAATTAGTAGAAAAATAAAGAAGTCTGATAATTTAACACTTGTTAAAAGAATAACCAGAGTTTTCAATGTTTATTTTCTAACGAGTGACTTGTCTATTTACGAGCCATAAATAAATTTTTAAAAAATTTATTTAAAATGAGATTCTACTTTCTTCTTTTTGAAGCTCTTTGAATCTTTCGACATGAGAGATAATTCTAGAATTCATTTCTTTCTTAGTGAGATTCCTTTCAAATAATTTTTCAAAAGTCTTTTGAACAATAAATCTTTAAATATATGTTTTAAATAACATTTTCTGATTTTACAAATTGCCTTTGATATTGCAAAGCAATCATACAAAAGAAAATTAAATTTTAACTTTTAGTACCCAAATATTTTTTAATTTTTTAATTTTAGTATAAAGCATATTTTCTTTAACTTTTCAATTAGGATCATAATTGCCATAATTGCAGAAGGAAGCTGAAGCACACATATTTTTCATTTTCTTTTCATAATATTCTTTACATAAAATGAGAAAGAGGATGTACAATTTAATTTTATAACTTTTTCTAACAAAAAAAATAGAACAACACGATTATTTTATTACAATAATTACATTTAAATACACTAAATTTTGAGGACTTATTAGTATTAGAGATATTATTGAAATTCTTAGCCTTGTCTTTAAGCTCACACTTAACGAGTTTTATTATAGGTAGCTTCATGAATAGATAAAATCATATTAAGATTGTCTCTTTTATGGATTTTCTCTGGATTTCATATAAATATTACACTTCACTTTTAATAGAGTCACAATTTTTATAGTTTAAATCACCACTTATTTAAGGCGCTCCTTCTAAGCTCATCCATTTTATGTATAACTTTCTTTTCTTTTTCATTAGGAGAGTTAACATGATTTTTGTATTTCATAATAATTTTTTCTAATTGGATATTTTCTTTGCTAACTTTTATATTAAAATCATACAATTGTTTATAGGAAAGAGTGATTACCTTATCACCATCTTTGTAATTAGGCATAAGACAAAGATTTACCTATTCACTTAATTTTTCAAATGAGTTTTTGTTATGATCTATTTCTCGTTTTGTAGTATTTTCACTAATTTATCTTCTTTCAATTTTTTCGTAATATTTTATTTATTTAGCATTTTACATAAATTATTAATAAAATTTATATCTCTAAATTTTATTATTGGGGTTAAGTTTTCAACGCCCGTCCTTGAATCTTAGATATTTGTTAGAGATTTTCTTTATAATATTGTCAAGAATTTTAACATTTTAGAACCATCTTTGAAGATTATCTTCATTTTCATTTGGTATCTCAAATTCATGTTTAATATGTTCATCCTTTCCCTTTTGATTTTAGTAGAATCTTTATATATTATTTCAAGGGTGTCCATCACTTCTTTGATAGTGCTACAATTAGAAATATAAGTGTCAATGACGTAACACATTTATCATCAAGTACTTAACTTTAAAACTTTTTTGTACTTTTTATTTTTCTTCTATGGTCCTTAATTCTCATAGTTTGTTTACTACTTCATTATTAATAAAACATGTAGAAAAAAGACCATCTAAAAAAAATCCCATAAATCAAAATCAATAGCTTTTAAAAATATTTTCATTTGAGCTTTTCATGTGGTATACCCTTCATCATTAAACGACGGGTGGTTGTTCAAAGGAAGACTCTTATTATGTTTGAAGTCATCGTACTGAGATGTTTAGTCATATACTAAGAATTAAATTTTGATTTCACTTGTTAAGCAAACGACTCCAAACACAAGAATAAGGTGAATTTTGGTATTAGAATTTAATTTTTTTTTTTAGAGAAATTTGCTTGATTTTCAAAAGCTTAATTTTAAGAAGATAATAGAAGTAAATAATAAGCAACGCATAGATAAATAAAAGATAAATATAGAGATAGAGTAAGAAATTTCACATTAGATATTATATTGGTTTAGCCTTAAACCATGCAGCCTACTCCAGTCTCCAATAGTTTCCTCTTGAGATTTTCACTTACAACAACTTGAGCTTTTACACAACTTCAACTTAACAACATTATACCAAGAACGTGAAGTTCTATATAATTTTAACCCAACAATATTACACTAATTATTTTTTACAAATTTAACTTGCAATCTTCAAATCTATTACAAGATCACAAGAGAACTAAACCATTGATTACATAAATACAATAAAGAATAAAAAAATACAACTTTTAAATGAAAATTTCCACTCTCTTAATACTAAGATAATTTCTAGTGAATTAAACTTATAAAATAAGGATAACAAGTGAGATAGGAGAGTTGATTATTCAAAAAACATCTTGTCTTTAGAAGTGAGGAAAACACTCATTTATATAAGAAAAATATTGGATATAAAAGTCAACAACCCATGGGCATGGTCGCTTCCTAATCGATTACATCAACAACCTAATCAATTAGGTTAAGCCTTCAAAGGAAACACTAATCTACAACACCACTTAAACATTTACAAGGTTTTCCTATTCTATTAGGATGCATTACTCTTACTCTAATCAATTTGATAAAGAGCCTAATCAATTAGATAAAGAGTTTTACTTTCCTAATTGATTAGAATCGCTTCTTAGTAGACTAAGTACTTGCCAAAATTAGTTTAATGAAGTTTTAAGAAAATATGAAATGATTTTGGGGTGTGCGCGCACCAGTTTAGTACTTAAATACCTTCTTTGGCTTAAATTACATTCAACTGATTGAACTACAAGATAAAAAATTAAGCGTAGGATTAGACGAGTTTTCACAACTTCAATTCTTTTCGATTACTTTGCTTAACTCTTTCAATTGGGACTTGAACACTTGGTGTCGTACTTGCTTCTTGGCAGATGATGCTTGACTTACCTATTCTTTATTTAGTTGTCAACATCAAAATCTTTAGAAGATATTAATCTGCATAACATATAGAACCTCATCACCAACCTTTCGTCACTTTATCATACATATATTTTCTTTCATTCTTCATGGCTATATTGAGCTTCTTCTCATTGAAAAAAGTTTCAAGCCAATACAAGGTAGGAACAATTACGATCTTAGCCAATAGCCTAACATGCTAATGGATGAGCTTTATTCCTGCCTTAACCCTGATAGGAAAAAAATGAAAAATGAATTAAGTGTGACTAAGGCATCGAGAACCATAAAAAATTCCTAATTAGACATGCCAAGTACACGCTAAAAGACAAACACATGCACTTTCTCCCCCATGTTTAGAAGTGAAGAAAATACTCATTTATATAAGAAAAAAAATGGTAAAAAAAAGACAACAACCCAAGGGCATGGTCGCTTCCTAATCGATTACCTTATCAACCTAATTAATTAGGTTAAGCCAACAAAGGAAACACTAATCTACAACATCATTTAATCGCTTACAAGGCTTTCCTATTCGATTACGATGCATTACTCTTACTTTAATCGATTAGATAAAGAGCTTAATCAATTAGACAAAGAGTTTTACATTCTTAATTGATTAAAATCGTTTTTTTAGTAGACTAAGTACTTGTCAAGATTAGTTTAATGAAGTTTTAATAAAAGATGAAGAGTTTGAAATACTTTTAGTTTGTGTGTGCATCACTTTAGTACTTAAAGACCTACTTTTGCTTAAATTACATTGATCAAACTACAAAATAAAAAACTAAGTGTAGGATTAATCAAGCTTTCACAACTTTAATTCCTTTCGATTACTTTGTTTAACTCTTTTAATTAGAACTTAAGCACTTGGTCTCGTGCTTGCTTATTGGTTAATGATACTTGACTTATCTATTCTTTATTCAGTTGTTGTCATAAAAAAAAATATTTGAAGACATTAACATGTATAACATATAAAACCACATCATCGACATATCATCACTTTATCATACATATATTTTCTTTCGTACTTTATGCCTATATTGAGTTTCTTCTCATTGGGCAAAGTTTGAGGCATATATCAGGTAGGAACAATTACAATCTTAGCCAATAGCTCTACAAGCTAATGGATCAGCTTTATTCTTGTCTCAACCCTGATAGAAAAATAATTGAGTGTGACTAAGGCATCGAGAATAAAAAAAAAATCTCAATTAGACACAACAAATACATGCTAAAAGACAAACAAATGCACTTTATCCTCATGTTTATTATGGCATATGGGTTTACCCGTGACAGACAGTGGTGGTGCATACGAGTGCACATGGATTTGTTTATGAGTGGCTAATGGGCATGCTTGCCCAATTTAGACCTACCCCGCAACAACCCGAAAAAAATGGGACATGATAATTAAGAGTGTGGTAGTAAAGTCTTGCCCCATTCCGCAAAAAAGTAATGGCGAGATGGGACGGACCCGCGGACATTGTACTTTTTAAATATAAAAATATAAAATTTAAGTTAATACTCGTATTTGCAAAAGCCCGTAAAAAAATGGATGGAGCAGAAGAGATACATTAAAGGATGAAGATCTAAAATCTTGATTGACACCACGCTTTAATAATGCATATATATATATATATATATATATATATATATATATATATATATATATATATATATATATATATATATATATATATATATATATATATATATATATATATATATATATATATATATATATATATATATATATATATATATATATATATATATATATATATAAATTTTCAAAATATATTTTTTCTTAATTTATTGCATAGTGAAGTGTTATAGAAAATTGACATGTTAGCCTTTTTTTTTCTTAGTAATTAAATAAGTAGATGTTTTTGAACCGTTCACTTTTCAAGTTCACAATTTATTTACTAGGATGATTTAGGAGTCTATACAATCTTATTTATGTATTTTTATTTTTCTAAAAGTTCAGGGACTAATCAGCAATTAAGCCAAAAATAAATAGCATCTTCTGTTTCCCCAACCCAAACCCTTAACGTAAAATACAGTAACTCTCGCATTCCCGCGATCATCATCAGACCCACCACGATTCTCTGCGTGGCGGTTACCATGGCGGCAGCAAATTCATCTCCTTCAAAATCCCAAATCCTATCGCTCCTCCGTTCCTTCATACGCGTATCTCGTCAATTTCCAGATTACAACATTAGGGAGTACACTAAACGACGTGCCCTCGATGCGTTTCGTCAAAACGCAACACTTTCCGAATCTTCTTCGGTTTCCGAAGCTCTCTCGTTCGGAGAATCTCAGCTTCAAGTAGCTAAACGACAGGCCGTTGTTTACTCTCTTTATGTTCCGCCTCTTCCCAGTGTTATGGAGATTCAGAATAAACCCTTTTAATCAAGGTTCGGTTTTTCTTAACCCCTTTCTTACCGGACTCAATTTTTTTGTTTCTTTGTTTGTGGCTTTTAGGTTTTGTTACTAGTAATTGTGAATTTGGACATGACTGAATTTTCAACGCAATTATATTCTCTTTTAGCTCTTAAGTTTATGGTTGAATGAACTTGAAGATAGTTTTTTTTTTTAAACTAGTTTGAGCTTTGAAATGTTTATAAAATTACATAATCTAAGTGTGTTATTCTAGGTTGAGTAAGATTAGATGTTTATAAACTAGCATTGATTTCAATTTCTAGGTAGCACGGACACCTCTGAAAAACTGCGTGTCCGAGTTGGGGTCGAACAGGTGCACTGACACTTGTGATTATGTTCAATTTATTCAAAATTTCAAATTATTATCGGTGTTGCCGTGTTAGTGTCGAAGTCATGCTTGGGATGTCTGTGCTTTATAGTTCAATTTTCAAGCAATGAGCTCTTTTAAGTGAACAATCCAAAATAGTATGCTAGGAGAAAGTATAAAGGTCAAGTGTTTGTTTAAAAAATAATAATTATCTTATAACATATTGTTGCACAAGTGTTTGAAACAAGTTATGGTAATAACTTATGATATACTCATAACCATAGTAGCTTATTTTCTTATTCAATTAGAGTAGCTTGTATAGAGATACCCTTTGTTTCCTATTCTCTTGTTGAAACAATTTATACACATACGCTTATACGATGAATACTTGAGCTGTGTTTGGTAAAATTAAGCTATAAGCTACTGGATAGCTAGTACCTTATAGCTGAAAAGCTAGTCAATTGAATTGAAATTAAAATATTTTGTAAAATTAAGCTTCGGTAAACATAAAATGAGACAGAAATACATTTTTTTATTTCATGTATAAAATTGAAAACACCACTTGAGACTAGTCAGGCCATGTATGTCTACACTAGTAACTCCAAATGTGGAAGTATCAGCAGAGCAAGAGAAGTATATAGACTTCTATCTGGTGTGCTTTCATCTGTGATCTGATCGTTAATAGCACCGTGTTGCTGATGTGAATGGGGGAGGATAGTTGTTATTTTGTGATCTAGATTTTCATGTAGGAAATCATGAGTTTGGATTCACTTAAAAGTGGCTAATGGAAATAATAAAGTTGGCCGGAGAGAAATGTGTAAAATGTTGGCATGGGACATAGTTCATTTCTAGTTTTTTCCCTCATTTACTTTACTAAAATCATTGTTTAGTTCTTAGATTCTTTTGATTTTCCCTTTTTGTTGTTGGGGCCTTGGATTGCTCCAAATCAATGTGCCTCTCATCAAGGTGTAGATCCATTAGACACCAAAACATGATTAAATAATTAATCTCATAATTAGAGCACTTTGTTTCTCCTTCTAATAACTCATTAGAGGCTTATTGTGTGCTAAATGTAATTTGTCACAACTTATCATAACAGGGTGATGAATTGTTAAGTTAACAACAACAAACCTTGTGAACCACAAATAATCTATGAATAAATAAAGTTGTTTGCAGTTATAGTAGTATCAAAATGCAGAAGAAAAAAAATATATAATTATTAAAGTTGAATTGAAAACCCACATTGTTTCTGACAATTGAGTTGTGATTATCTAGAACTGAATGTGGCATCCTAGGGTAAATAAAATGTATTTTTGAGATGATTTTTAACCGTTTGTAACTATTGTTTAGGCTGTATACTAATTGGACTTGAATCACTATTGCTTAAAACTTGTTTGTGCTTTGTGCTTGGAATTGAGTTTAATAACCTTATCAAATATGGCAATTCACTAACAACAGACTAATTATTGTAGTGCGGAATTTGCTGCAGGTTATGTTCTGTTGATGATAGGACAATCAGAAATGTGTGTTTCCCTACTACGCATTCATCTATTATGGAACGAGCAATGAAGTGAAAATCTCTAGTTTACGACTTTCTCCCGGAAAGCTATTATTGCTCTTTAGAAGTAAACAATATTTTTGTATGCATACTTAAAGTTGAGTGACATTTTCAAATAATTTAAAACCAGTTTGATGTTGTTAGAATTGGAATAAGTAAATTTAATTGGTCTGATTTTATTTAATTTTTGATAGGATGATAATGTATTGTGGAAAGTAGGGTGTGCATTAGGGGCGGACAAATCTAAATAAAATTGCAAATTGATATAAATAAAAATGAAAACTGTACAAAACTAAAATTTTATTTGAATGTGTTTTGGATGTTATTTTATAAAAACTTGAATTGGATTTTGAATTTATTTTTTAAAATTGATCCAAATCAAATTAAATTAGGTGTGTATATTTATAAACTTATTTATTTTTTATTAGATGATATTTATAAACTTATTTATTTAATAGATGATATTTATTTTTTTGAATATTAATTAAATATTATTTATTAGTTTGATTTAATTTATTTATTTTAATTATTTCATTTTAATTACGTAAGAGATCATTATTATCATTTTAAAATATTAAATTTTAATACAGTTGTGTAAGTTATATATTATATCAAATTTAATATTTATTAATATTTTTATAATATTATTAAAAGATATAATTTGTATTTTGAATATATAAAAAATTAATTTAAATTAAATTGTATGATTTGATTGGATTGGATTTTTTTAACTAATCATCTAAAATCAAACCAAATTAAAAGTAAGTTTATCTTTGAATCAAATGATATTTTACTTCAATGTGATTATATGTATGTATACTTAATGAAGAGTATACTTAATGAAGAATAAAAGTGAAGTGCTTGACATATTTAAGATTTATGTGAATGAAATTGAGAATTAATTTAGTAAGCAGATTAAGAAACTTCGTAGTGATATGGGAACTAAGTACGATTTTGAGTTATGTAATGAATTTTATAAATAATATGGAATTGTACATAAAATGACTGCACCAAACTTTTCTAAAATGAATGGTAAATCATAAAGAATGAATAAAATTTTTATTGAACACGTTGTTGCAATTATGATGAATTCGGGTGTTACTTTTTACTACTGGGGAAAATTTTGTTGACTGTTTGCTATGTCTTGAATCGAGTTCCTAAGTTAAAAAGTAAGATCTCTTCTTATGAGATATTAAAGAAAAGACAACCAAACTTGTCTTATCTAAGAATTTGAGGGTGTCTGACTTATGCCACAATTCCAAATTCAAAGTGAGTTAAACTCGCTAGTAGAGCCTATGAATGTGTATTCATTGAGTATGCAGCACACACTAAGGCATATAAGTTTTATGACCTAAATGATAAAGTGATCATAGAATCAAATGATGTTGAATTCTATGAAAATAAATTTCCTTTCAAATTGAGAAATAATGGAGGCACTAAATTGAGTCACATTTCTGTGATAAGAAGCACAAAAAACAACGACGAAGTAGAAACAAAACTTCAACAAAGTAAAAAAGTAAGAGTTGTTAATGATATGAGTCCGATTATGGGGCTTATATTGTAGAAGAAGATCCAACAAGTTTTCAAGAAGTCTTGTCATTTATGAATGCAGATTTGTGGCAAGTAGTTAACAATGAAATAAAATTTCTAAAATCTAACATGACCAATCGGCTATAAAAGATTTTTGAAAATGAAACAAAAACCTGATGGAATTGTTAACAAGTACAAGGTTCACCATATAGTCAAAGATTTTGGGTTTGATACATATCCAAAATGATAAAAATTAAGTAATATTGTTATATAATATTAATTAATTTAATAACGGTGTGATGTAAATAATTAATTATAAGTAATTAAATTTTTAGTATGTTGTAATTAATTAATGACGTTAATTTAATCTAACTTTAAAATTTGATTGAAACTATGTCTTTCTTCCAAGCTTTCGCGTCTGACTTGCTGACCAAGTTTGTAAGGATGAGTAATGGGTCAGATCTGCTCTACTCCCCTACGTCCTTCTCCGCATCAGGTCAGATTAACGCCTATAAATAAAAATCTTCCAATCTCATAATTTTCACTCCAAAATTCTATACTCTATTAGGCTTCTTCTTAATTTTTTATGTTTTCGAGTGACTAGTGTGCTCCATTAACTACTACCTTTTTTTTAGTGTGACTAATTTTTCTTTTAATAAAATGTGAAATAACACTTATTATACTTTTCCTCTGCGTGGAAGTTACAATGGTGGCAACAACTTCATCTCCTTCAAAAGCACAAATTTTATTGCTCATTCGTTCCTTCATACGACTATCTCGTCAAATTCTATATTTAAACATTAGAGAACACGCTAAACAATGTGTCGTTGATGTGTTTCAAAAAAACGCAACACTTTCTTAATCTTTTTCAATTTCTGAAGCTTCTTCCATTTTTGAAGCTTTTTCTTCTGATGGTCTCAGCTTGAAGTAGTTGGATGACATGTTATTGTTTACTTAGGTCTTATGGAGCATCAGAGTATGACCTTTTAATTAAGGTTCGATTTTTCTTAACCCCTTTATTACAAGATTTTATTTTTTTTATTTGTTTGTTTGTAGGGTTTAGGTTTTTTTGGCATGTTGCAGAGATGGATAGAAGAGTCATACAAGCAGGACTTTTTGAGGATGAAACTCCCCAAAAGGCCCTCGTCGAGACCGTGGTTGCCGAGTTATGGAATGTTGTACAGTACATGTGACAGAGGAGGAAGGAGGTTAAACATACCCAGTTGTTAGTTTATGTTTGGATGTTTTATTTTTTGATATTTTCAGACAAATGATATGTTTCGGATTAATGTATGACTTTTTTTATTTATTTAACTACATTTTACATGGATTTTACTATAATATAAGTTAGCCATAAAAATTACAATTTTAGGACAACAGTGATGCTCTGAAATGATTCAAAAGGGTATCCAGAAATGCATCTCCGAAATATATCATCTTTCAACACCTTTTAAAGGACTTCATGAAACATTTCAAATATGCATCTTTGGATACGCTCAAATAACGTACTAAGATGCATCCTCGTACCATATTATTTCAAATTAGGGTGGATCTCATATTAGCGCACTTTGATGG